CTAATAATTTTAAAATAACATAAATTGTCTCAAATCAACTTAAAATCTTAAATACGAATGTCTCAAATCAAATTTTTGGAATTTTTTTTCTTTAAAAAGTAACCGTTGGGTCCGTTTGAGCCCGTTTAGGACCCGGGCNTAATACTTCAAATTAATCTAACAAACTAAAACATTAAGCATAATACGTCTAATAATTTTAAAATAACATAAATTGTCTCAAATCAACTTAAAATCTTAAATACGAATGTCTCAAATCAAATTTTTGGAATTTTTTTTCTTTAAAAAGTAACCGTTGGGTCCGTTTGAGCCCGTTTAGGACCCGGGCCCGGGCCCAAACGGTCCCGAACCTAACGGCTTCTTCAATGAACCGGGCCACTTGGGCCTCAAGCCCCTGGTCTCGGGCTTAAACGGTAGGCCTGTTTAGGCCCACTACCCATATGGGCTCGCTGTCCTGGGCCGGGCCCGGGCCTAACCGGTCCACTTGCCACCCTTAGCGTACACACTACCCTCCCCAGACCCCACTTATGGGATGTTACTGAGTTGTTGTTGATCTACCTTTGTACTTTGTTGTTCATTCCGTTGTCTGGTTCAAAGCAAGCTTGTTTCTTTTATTTCTTAGCCTTGCAGACATATTCATAATATGTTTGTCAAATCTGATATGAGACTCAATTTATATGGAACAGATCTTGAAGAAAATATGTGACCATCCACTGCTACTAACAAAGAGAGCAGCAGCAGAAGTTCTGGAAGAGATGGATTCAACATCAAACAAGGATGACCGTGCTGTGGCAGAGAGATTGGTTATGCAAATGGCAAATGTCACTGAGAAACTTGACGATGAAGTGACACATGATGTTTCCTGCAAGATAGCTTTTATACTGGCTTTGTTGGTGAGATGTCAACAGCAGAAGTGATGTTCTATCTATCTTGGCAATAGCTTGTCTTATAATTAAAATGCTTCTTCATACAGGACAATTTGATTCCTGGTGGGCACAATGTGCTTATCTTTTCTCAAACACGCAAGATGCTTAATCTACTCCAGGTTGTTGTCATGTTCATATCTTGGTTTTTCACATGGCATGCATAAGTTAATACTTGCGCATCTTTTTGCATCACTTCTTAATTTTTGTTGCTCTAATCTGTACTCAATCACTTAATTTGCCCCAGGATGCTTTAATATCCAATGGTTTCCAGTTCATGAGGATAGATGGAACCACCAAAGCTACTGACAGATTGAAGATTGTTAATGTTTGTCTTCTCCTATGTCTTGAGTTGATATTAATCCTCCATAAAATTTTACATTCTGATTTTCTATGCCAATTTTGTAGGATTTCCAAGAGGGTCGCGGTGCTCCAATATTTCTTTTAACTTCTCAAGTTGGCGGTCTAGGTCTTACACTCACAAAAGCAGATCGAGTGATTGTGGTTGATCCAGCATGGAATCCAAGGTACACTCTTAGAATGACTTTTTATTATCTTCTTAGAGTTTATAGATGACTGACATGTGGTGTCTAATTATCTTGTAGTTGATAAAATAAATGTTTTAGACTACCCAGAGAATTTAATGTTTTAGAGTCCTCAAACTTCTACTAACTTCCTGGTCCTCTTTCTTTAGATCCTCAAAACTTATATCAGTACCCATAACCATGTTCGTCAAAAAAGGCACCATTAAGAATGGCTTTTTTCGTTATCTAGATTGTTTATGAGGTGATGCCATAATCTATTTTGTTTGTTTTTTATATTTATTCTTAATCAAGGGAAAATAATTCATTGCTTAGATGTAAAGTATTACTTTAGGTGAAGAATAAGGTCATCATGTGCCTTCATTTTTAGTAAGAGTATAACCCAGAAATTACTATGTCTCGCTTATGCTACACATAAATCGGAATATTCTCCAAGGAAAAGCTTGGATCGTACTACCAGACGTTACTAAAAGGCTACATGCAGATGATAAAGCTTCTTGTTTATGACAATGTTCCTAGTGTCTTCTGTGTTTTGTACGAGATCTTGTAGTTGAACTTTATGCTATCTTTATGGTAAATACTAGGTATTTTTTTTTTACTGCTGGATTTTGATTGTGATTTGGCTGCACTTCTTTTCATATGCGTTTTCTTAGAAATAAGTGTACATACTTCAGTTTCATTTCAAAATGTGTTGCTGCCTCCATGCCCTATTAGATAAATGTGTTTGTCTGGGAAAATCTAAGATTAAAATTTGACTTTTTAATTGTGTTAATGGTAGTAGATCTAATACTCCTATTACGAAAAGAATGATGGGGTTCGGAGTAGAGGGTCAAACCATTCTATTCAATCTCAATTTGGACATCGATTTGTTTACTTTAAAAAATAAAATTTACACATTTAGAATCTATATAGATTGTAAGTCACAGTATTTATAATTAAAAATTATATAAAGTTTTCTTAGGACTGGTGATACCATGGGACAAGCAGGGGATAGAAAGTAGTTTCTAAAAACCAAATTCCGAAGAATAGGGCTACAATCCCACCCCCAGACATTCAGGATAAGGTGAGGATGTAGTCACATCAGATGAGCATTTACCAATAGTAGATCTCATTTGACCACATTGATGAACCAAGTGACACTTGATATCTTTCCTCTACTTGTGTTATTATTTGTTAAAATCCGATGCGTATTGTTTGAATGGCAATGTTACTCCATATTCTGCTACTAATTATTGTATCAGGCCTATGATCGCCATCTAAGTGCTTTCTGTTCTTCCCATACTCTGAAATTTCTGTTAGGGATTAGATAATAGCCATTTACTTCCAACTTGCAGCACGGATAGCCAAAGTGTTGATCGCGCCTACAGAATTGGGCAGACGAAGGACGTTGTTGTTTATAGATTGATGACTTGTGGCACAGTTGAAGAGAAAATTTATAGGAAACAGGTGCATATTTTGTATTTATGCTTGATTGAGTTGTGGTAAAGATACAATTGGCTAATGATGAATGAGTGATCTTTAATAGTTGTGACCCTAAGTATTTAATGCATCAACCGCTAAGTGCTTATTATGGTTGGCTATCTTGAGAAGTATAGTAAGCCTTCTCTGATGTTACTACACTAATGCCTATTCTGGTGGAGTGTAGGCTAACATTATAGTCTCTGTAGCTTATTGCATGGTCCTTGTGTCATTAAGAACTCTAAAATCAAATATCTGCTTTGTCATGTGTGTGAAATGAGAGAAGAAAAGAGAAATTCTTATTGAAATTGGTTGTTCACAAAAATTGGGCTTGCGCTTATACAACTTCTAGTCTATGTATAAAATAAGTAATTATTCGTTATGTACAGTATTCAAGTATTCTTTAAGTTATTTCATTTATTCTTGACTTTCAACCATTTGCAATATTCAAGTTACTTCCAAGACCAAGAGCAAAGGCAATATGGTTTTATTATTTTGCTCCTCTGTAATGCACATTTCAAGGAAGATGAGTTTTACATCAGTGTTTTCATCATCTAATACTCTGGTACAGGTATACAAAGGTGGATTGTTCAAAACAGCAACTGAGCACAAAGAACAAATCCGTTATTTCAGTCAACAGGTATACGCTTAGGTGGAAATTCTAAAATTTATATTTGGTTTATATAGCTACCGATATTAACTGCTCTGATTGGTTTGTATGGTTAACTTTTCAGGATCTTAGGGAACTTTTTAGCCTTCCTAAGGGTGGTTTTGACATATCAAATACTCAACAACAGTTGAATGAAGAGCATGATCACGAGCACAAAATGTAATATGTGTTTATATCTCATGTAATTTTAAGTGATTGTTCTCCTAATGAGCTTTGATAAGATTCAGATTGTTTCTCAGGGCTTGTGCCTCTTAAAATCAGCAATAGTTTATGATTATTTTCACAAGCCAATTGGGGCTTTTGTTGTCAACTAGTTTTTACAATGATGCTCATTTTGCTGCAGGGAAGGAGCTTTGAAGGTCCATGTAAAGTTTTTGGAGACGCTGGGTATAGCTGGAGTTAGCAGCCACAGTTTGCTTTTCTCAAAGGCAGCGCCTGAGCCACCAGTCGAAGATGAGGACGAAGTGAAAATGTAAGTTCAAGTGTTTGACACTATTTCGCAGATGATACTATTTTATATTCTACTCATCCTAAACGGACTAGCAATATACTATTGGGGGAGTCAAACTAGTTTTTTTATTCGTAATTTACTTTTTCAAACATATTAAAATACTTATAACTGTAATATGTGTTTTATTGTATTTATGAATTTCAAAATATGTAAATTTCCTTTCTAAACTTAAGATATCTATGTCCGAGTTCACATAGAAAATTAGATGAGTTGACACTTGTACTCCAGCTTCGTTTAACTAATAAAGTTTTGAACTTTCATATTTCTATTATCAAACGTTATGTATATTATTACTATATTCTTTCTCTTGTACTGATGATACACAATTCCAACGGGTAGCTTAAACTGCATGTTAGTCGAACATAAAAAGGACAGAGGAAGTATGTGGAATCTTACTCAGCTTCATTGCCCCCCTTGCCTCACCACACATGAAATGTGGAATCCTACTTATAGCTTGTTTGGCCAAGCTTCTTTTTGGCCAAAAGTGTTTTTTTTTTTTTTGCCAAAAGCACTTTTGGCCAAAAATTGAGGTGTTTGGCCAAGCTTTTGGAAGGAAAAAAAGTTCGTTTGAGGAGAAGCAGAAACAGAAAAAAGTAACTTCTCTCCAAAAGCACTTTTTTGAGAAAAATACACTTAGAAGCAGTTTTTTAAAGCTTGGCCAAACACTAATTGCTGCTCAGAAGTGCTTTTCAAACTAATTAGCCAAACACAAACTGCTTTACCAAAAGTACTTTTGAGAAAAACACTTTTGAAAAAAAGCACTTCTCAAAATAAGCTAATTTTTGCAGCTTGGTCAAACGGGCTATTAGCTTCAACCCCCCCTGCCTCACTACACACGTGCACATATAGTCCTCATCCAAGGAACAATGAAAGAAAACATAAGATTATATTATGGAAAGTAGGAACTGTCATTTTCAGGGGGGAATGGCTGTTTAGTTGAAGCATACAAGGACTCACAAAACCAATAGTTGAAGAACGGCTGTGTCTTCTTAAGATCAGTTGTAATGGCTTCTTAACTCAACACACCATTGGAAGCACAACTTGAGACATACTAGGACTTCGAGTGAGACTTTGAATTGATGCTATTAAAACTCATCGCTTCTCATGGCTGAAGTTCTGCAATTTTAAAGAAACTTAAGCTTCAAATAGTATTAGCAACAAAGCGATCCAAGCAAGAAACGATTATTTGTCTTCATTGTTATCTTCTTTTCTAATTTGCAACAGCTCTAGTTGTTCTACTTTTGTTTTCATGATTCTCCTTTTCTTTTTCTTGATGACTCTTTCAGGTATGCAACCTTGTTTCTTTTTGCTGATTGTGCTTATAATTAAAAAAAAAATATGACTTGCAATGTTTGTTACCAATGTCATTGCTTACCTTTTTGCGTGTTGTAACCATCATCTGTTAAGAGTTCTTCTTTTCTACCTGGGTGCAGTGCAAGTAGGACGACATTCGTGGGAAACTCATCCTCGCACTCATCAGTCGAACGTGCTGTTGATGCGTATGACTCATAAAAACTTCAACTACTAATTGCAAATCTATCGCTCGGTTTTTAATTTGACTTCGTAGATGTGGTTCTTCCAGGGGGCAGTATGCTTTTAAGCCGAAGGATGTGAAATTACAGGATAAGTCTGTACCTACTAGGATTGGTCCTACAGAATCTGATATCAAGGAGAAAATCAGACGGCTTTCTCATATGTTTGGAAACAAGGTATTGGCTGATACTTATATTATAGTCTAACTTAGGAAATCATTAATAACCTGTGCTTCTATTAAAGTCTGGTAGCGAGCATCTATGTCACTTCGTCTTTCAATTTTTCAGGAAATGATCTCCAAGTTACCTGATAGAGGGGAGAGGATACAGCAGCAAATTGCTGAACTGAATAAGGAGCTGAAGAATATTAGAATGGAAAAAGAAAACAGAGATGAAGTTATTGATTTGGATGACATATCTGGGCGATTCCATAGGGTTGTAAATGTGTAAATATTGCTCACTATTCTTAGACGCTTCAAAGTGGAAGCCATTTTTGCTAAAAAACTCTTTTGCAATCTGTCCTCTTTTCCATCTGGGTTACATTGTAATTTTGTTGAGAAAATGGGTTGCCTTTGCAAAATGTATGGTCCTATAATATCGTCCTATTTTTCTTGCGCTGCTGCACACCGCCGCAGTTACGAACATCTAACGCAGCACTCTAGCCTCCATTTCATATTTTTTTTTTTGACCAGGCATCTCTTTCTTCTCCTTCTCTTCCCAAATTCTTCTTTCGCTGCGTTGGTGCCCTATCCATTCTCGCTTTGCCTGTGCTTCTGGTTTTGATGGGTGAAAATAGGGAAGACGAGAGTTTTAATCTTCTGAACATCTAACGTAATCGATTGCCTAAATAATTCGGTCACGCCAGCATTGCCTATGTGTTAGGAGATGATGCACTTATTTAAAGTTTACTAGTCTCTACGTTCCTGCAATGCACGAATATCTTATGTCAAATGTTATCAAACACTTTTCAAAAGTAATAAACATTCTAAAATAACATAAATATGCAATTGAAGTTGTAAATCACTTAAAGAATGCAACAATACTTAATATTATTTTTTGATTGAATGATTTACTTTAATTTAGGTAAGCCTTAATGATTCAGGTACATAAAAGTCATATTTCCTTAAATTAAGATACATTAATAACGAAAAATACAAAGAAAAAAAGTCATTAGGTAATAATTCAATTTCAANTGTCCTTTAATTGGAAAAAAACTCCCTACGCACCTCGCGGTGCCGGAAAAAGGAGGTGTGACAAAGATTTAACTCCAACCATGATTAATTAAACTCCAATCACGTGTCTCTTCCATAAGCGTACATGCTCGTGCATGAAATAGTTTGGTATATCCAAATATCAATTATCCTCATGTATCAATATATACGTATTTTTTTTCCTCAAAATAATCAATGTGGTTGTTCATTATTTGCATTATATTTGAATAATTATTTTACATTGGTAAACTATTTTATTATATCAGTATTGAGTTGTGATTTTTTAGTTCAACTCCGTAGTGGCCAAAGCTTTATATGTTATGATCCATCCAACAAAAAATTATTTTTCTGGAAGAATATATAATTTACCTTTTAAAAGGCATAAAAATCAGTTTACATAACGTATGACATAAAGTGCTACTTTTTTTTCATTTACCATTTTCTATTCATTTTCGAGCCTAAATAATTCGGTTTTTTTCCTCTTCAAAATATTGGAATTAATATTGAGCACATATTTTTCTTTGCCATGTAAATTTAGAGGAGATCACTTAACCCAAAATTATAAAAAGAAAAAAGAAAAAAAAGAAGGAAGAGTGATTAGACAAAAATTTATTAATTGTTAAATTTCCTTAATTTTAAGAAAGTTAAAAAAAGATCATAAAGTTAGTTAGTTGTGTACTTTAGGAAGTTGTATGAACAAAGATTTTTCAAGTTTTTTCCATGCAAATCTATTGTACGAATCATCCATTATTTATTTAAGAATAATATAAAAAATATAGTAAGCAGAGATAAACATGTAAAAAAGTAAAATCGAAAATAAGCATATTCATGGTTGAGAAATGTCTAAAAAAAATGTTTTAAACATATATTTTAAGCATATAACTAAATAAAAACTTAAAAAATTAAAGTCTAATATATTAATATTCAAAAGACCGCGTACTATCCAAAAATACTAACCATTTAAAATATTGTACAACACTCTCGGAAGTCTGAACCAAGTTACTCTATAAAGAATAAAGGAAAAGGGTTTTAAAAGCTATTACTGCGTTATTTTTGAAATACTAGAAACAATCACAAGTCTTTGTCACACTTCCTTTTTACCCGCGCCAGCAAGGGGCGTAAAAAGGAGTTTTTCCAATTAAAGGACAACCGAAACGGGATTTGTTATTTAATTCAGAGTCGCCACTTGGGAGATTTATGGTGTCCCAAGTCACCGGTTTAATCCCGAATCGAGGAAAAGAATGACTCTGATTAACAGTCTGCGAACCAGAAATTCGGATAAGGAATTCTGTTAACCCGGGAGAAGGTGTTAGGCATTCCCAAGTTCTGTGGTTCTAGCACAATCGCTCCACTGTTATATTCGGCTTAATTATCTCATTTTATACAAATACGAACTTATGTGTAAATTTTAACTCTTTACCGCTTTTATTATTATTATTATTATTATTATTATTTTACAGAGAATTGCAACGTTGTGAAAATGTATCTCGAACCACGTCACAATCAATGTACCCGTGGTCGTCGACACACTTCGACTCCGTTAAGATTTGGATTTGGGTCACATCAATGTACACCCGCGATTAAGAAAGTAAATTATTAAAGGCGCGCCTAAAGCGATTAGCGCATTATTATTTTTGAGAAGGCCGTGAAATCTTGCTAAAACGGGCCATCCGAAGTCTAATTAATTATTAACCATTTATTGAGGACCCCGCAGCTTGCATTTTATTTGGCGAGGCTCGTCAAATTTATTTTTAAAGGGCAATTCTAAAGTGACTACATTTCTATTAAATTTGTCTCTAAAAGAAACGAGAAAAGTCTTAATTAATTACATGCTTGTCAAGTAGTTATTGGATTACAGTAAATGATAACGGTAATTTACACTCAAACTCGTAAAATGGAGAAACGTTTCGTGCCTTTATTCTATAAGTGAACTACTAAAGCTGAAATTACAAAATGCATGCAAAATTGTCAAGATATTCAAAACAAACTAACCATTCTCCAAATTGATTTAAACTAATATTTCTAAAATTGATTTAAACTATTGGAATTAACGGCTAGGAAATGTTATCAACACGAATTCGAATACAAAAGAAAGCTAGGTATGAAATATGACAACTAATCCCTTAACTTATTTGTTCATTCTACAAATTACATATTTAACTACACGGAATCTGTAATTAACAACTACAAACTATAGTTTGAAAACCAAATAGTTCCAGTTAAATACAAGACTACGTCATGCATTCCAGTTGAGTTATAAAACTAAACTATATAAATACTTGTCACATATCTTATTAAACTATAGATACAACACTAATTCATCAAACATCCTAGCATTTCATTTTACTTTTACATCTCACAGCCACATCAGTATTGATTCGAAAGTGTACCTGGTATTGAAATAAAAGAAAAGGGAGATGAGAGATCAGCAGGGCAGTAACAGTGCAGCAACAGCAACAACAACAACCAGCAACCAGGAGATTTAAAACCCCGCAATAAACTCAGAAATCCAGTTGCAATTTCAGAAATACAAGGCAACAACACAGATATACCAGAAACAGCAACAAATAACCAGTGCAGACCAGAAATAACAAACTGAGAAAACCACTTTAAACCTCAATGAAATCCCAGAAACAAACCAGCAATCACAAACAGAACAGTAGAACCAGAAGTGCAATCGAACAGCAAACTTTGATTTCTATTTTTTAAACTCTCCCAGAAAAAAAACACTTTGAACTTTTTATTAAACACTAACAAAACTGATTCTGATTTTCAGAAGTGAAAGAAAACCAACTCTCCAATTTTTTTTTCCAATTACTGAACTTTTAGGGGGCTAAAAATTCAGCCTATTCAACTCTAAAATTACTGAATTCTGATGATAAAATCCAGCAGGTTTTTAACTTGAACTATGAATGTTTTCTTTTTCTTCAAAGTTCAGCTTTCATTCACTCTTAAACTCTCCGAAAGAAACTGAATATTTTAGCTTTCAAAATGTTGTCTAAGACTGCCTGAAGAACTGATTTGTTTTTTCTCTTTTTCAGAAAGATGTTTTTCCCTTCTCTATCCCTCTCCTTTCTCTACAGACCTCATCCCCCTTTTATACAAGTCTGCCTTCCTTTCAAACCTACTGCCCGACCCCCTTTCTCCCACTAAATCTGAAATTTTCCACTTAAAATTTACTAAGGAAAATTTTTCCTTATTTTCAGCCCCCCATTCCCTTTTGTTCCCCATTAGTGTATTAATTTAAAGGACATTAATATTCCACTAACAAAACACTAACATAAAAATATTATCCTAACTGTTTCATTTCCCAAATCACCCTTGAAATCCCTGAAATTGCAGCTATAGCCAATTCTCCTAAGTTCTGAATGCAACATTATGACTCACTACTATTCAGTTGACATTATCAAACCAATATTGAATTCAAATCAATTGTCAGATTCATTTTAGACCCTAGACACTAGGATGTGATTCATCAATTGCTTAAACTTGAATCAAACAGCAACAAAAATAAAGGCTAAGGCTATTAATGACCCAGAACACCCTTACAGGGCATGACACAGCAGGTTTAAGTGACAACCAAAATAGCAGTTGTGATGAAGCAGTTCGATTGACCAAACAATACAAAACACTTTAAATGATCAAACAAAATAGTGTGACGAACTGAATATACCCACAGGCTCAGTACTAAGTTCAACTATACCAACAGGCTCGTTTCAACACAACATTTAGGACATAAATGAAGTAGGAGGGAAAACAGACTAGCATGAACCATGAAACCAAAACCAACATTACACTACTATCATGTTAAATTAACATTCAGGCCTACCGGACTAATCGACGACACCTATTCAATCGATTACACAAATTATAACACATAACAATTATAGCAAACAGAAGCAAATGATAGAATGGACCAAATAACAGGTCTGGTGGAGAAGGACAGAATCAAACGACAACAATTGAAAAACCATAAAACTACACTCAACAAAGTAAACAGAATAATCAAAACCAAAAACGGAATAAAC